TAGTAATGGTATGATTTAAACATGTTCAAGAAAGTTATTTTAGCCCTGGCCGGTTTGGCTCAGTGGTTAGCGTGTCGGCCTGCGGTCCAGAGAGGCCCGGGTTCGGTTCCCGCTAAGGGCACGTACCTCGGTTGCAGTTTGTCCCTGGCCCTGGTTGGGTCGTGCAGGAGGCAGCCACTTGATGTGTCCCTTTCACGTCGATGTTTCTCTCTCTCTCTCTCTCTCTTTCTCTTTCTTCCTCTCTCTGCCGCCCGCTCTGTCTGAACAAAAAAAATGGAAAAATGTCCTCGGGTGAGGATAAAAAAAAAAGTTATTTTATTTTGTAAGTAACCAAGCTATTTTTCCAACTAAAAGTAAAAGGCCGAAGTAATGTTTTTAGGCTGCTTCGTCAATGAGAAAAATCAGAACATAGTCAACATTCCTTTTTGTCAGTGTGCAGAAATGATTGCACAGCATCAGCAAAGAGCGTGCCTGCACCCCGGGGAAAGAAAGAATGGGAAGAGGAAATGCAGATGGAGACGGATTTGTGCCCGGGTTCGTTCATTCACAAAAAGGCATCTGCATCGGGGTTAGAGGTTTCAGGTCTAGAGCGAAGAGTTTCACGAGCTGCTCACCTGAACAGTGAGGATGTGTCGGCTTTCTCTCCTTCAGGCTACACCGGATGGTGTGTCTTTGGAAAGGGTGAATGGTGCAAACAAGCAGGGTCCCGCTGGAGAACGTGGTCAGGTCCAGCCAGTGTTGGGGAGGCGTTGGCTGAGCCAGGGGCAGGGGCACGCGTGCTCCCGTGTAAGCCACTGAGTGCACGAGGGCGGTGGAGGCAGGGGTGAGTGCAGGCCACGCTGCCGAGGGTGGCAGTGGCCGCGCCGGAGAGCAGGCTCACTCAGGCCCACGGGGAGGAGCCCGGGCCCAGGGCCAGGGCTGCGGAGTCGCCTGGAGGGAGCACGTGCAGGGCTGGCCGTTGTGCTGACTCCTTCCTCCTGAGCCTCGCTGTCTTCCTGACCTCTCGATGTCTGGGGCGCCCACACGGGCCGTCGTCCTCCCGACTCACTCTCCTCCCGCCTTTCACAGGCTCCTGTACTGTGGTGTCGTCGTTCGTGGAAGGTCAGTGAGCACAGTGCGTCAGCCCTGCCGGAACTAGTAGCATTGAGAGAGAGAGATTCTTGGGCTGTGTGAGTGCTCTGCTCTTACGGGACCAGAACTTCCCATGCCTGCCTCGGCGTGTCAAGCGCTGACCTCCGAGGAAGCAGCCCGGCGTCTGTCTGACCTCCTAGCAGGTGTGGATGAATCCCTGAGGCTGGTGCTGCCGCCGGCTGGAGAGGAACAGGGGTCCTTGGGCCTCTGCCTTCATGGGTTTGGATTGCCGCTGTCAACATGTCACCATGTCACCAGCGGTGGCAGCACAGCTGGAGACCTGCGACCCTGTGTGGCACAGACATGACGGGAAGGGCAGCAGGAGAGGGGGTGCAGGCACGCGGAGCGGGGGGCCTGAACCCGCGGCCCCAGCGCACAGTGAGCTGTGTGTCTGTGTCTCGAGCAGCGGGGGGTGGAGGGGGCAGGCGAGTGAGGTAGGAGTGTGAGCTCTGTCGCCCTCACCCTGCCCTGCTCACCATCCCCCAGACCCCGGACCTGGGCTCCCTGCACCCGACTTGCCCAGGGCAGGCTCAGACCCACACCTTGCTCTGCCCCTGGTGCCTGCCTGCTTCTCTGAGGTTTAGGAACACGTTTGCTCATTTCTGTCCCGGGCACTTCCACGTCGGGGTTTCACGCAGAAGCACACTTCAGAAACAGCGTTTGTGCTGAGTTTTGGAGGACATTCAGTCATCTTCCAAAGCACGGCCTGCATCTCCCTCAGGGGCGTTCGCCTGTTCCTGCACCGCCGCAGTCATCTCCCTTCTGCACGGTTCCCTCCGCGCCACGTCTCCCGCCGCGACTTCCTCAGTCAGGCTGACCCTCGCGTTTCAGAGCCTGTGGCCCTTGCGTCTCCATAGCTTTCAGACACCCCGTACATCCTGTAGTTCACATTGTCCGGGTGTGTGTGCACTGTAAATGCAGTTTTGTTCTTTTATTTTTAAACAAAGGCAACTGTATTTTTTCTTGCTTTTTTTTTTTTTTTATCACCCGAGGACATTTTTGCATTTATCTTCACATAGAGCAGGAGGGAGAGAGGGAGGGAGAAAGAGAAACGTCAACTTAAGAGAGACACACCAACTGCTTGCCACCCACACGACCCCAACCGAGGCTGGGGACAAACTGCAACCGAGGTACGTGCCCTTAGTGGGAACCGAACCCGGGTCTCTCCCGTCCGCGGGCCAACGCTCTAACCACTGAGCCAAACCGGCCTGGGCCTTCTTGCTTCTTTTAAGGCGGAATTAGGGATACTTCTTGGCACTTGGGACAGATCGTTTTGTTGTTGTTGTCGGTTTGGTTTGGTTTCCAGTTTTTGCTTACTGATGACTTTGCCGTGGCAAGAGAACAAACTACCCAGACACCTTAGGTTTGCAGACAGTCAGCGTCACCGTCATTCCTTGATCCCGTGAACTTCTCCTTCACGCTCAGTGGGCTGGGAGCGAAGCCTCGTCCTAGGCGAGAGTAAGGGACTCCTGCTGTGCTGGCCCAGTCTCCTGAAGCCGAGGGGCTCAGCTGGACTGAAGGCTGCCGGTTGACCTAGCGTCAGCAGCGCCCTTTAGGTTAAGTGTCTGTGACCACAGGAAAGAGACATTGGGAGACAAGATCTGTAAAAGTTAAAGAAACGGATTTACTGTGGAAAAGAGGTTGCTCCCCCCACTCAGTGTTGGAAAGTGTTCCTGGCACGTGAGAGTGGAATGAGTGACTGCCTGGGGGAGCCGCTGCGGGCAGCTGGGAGCACCCGCTGCAGGGCCCCCCCTTGGGTACAGGTGGGAACTGCCCTGACAGGAAGGGCTGCCCAGAGAGAGCACGCGGGTGGGGGTCCCAGCGCTTGGCCGTCTAGACCAGCGGTTCTCAACCTGTGGGTCGCGACCCCTTTGGGGGTCGAACGGCCCTTTCACTGGGGTCGCCTAAGACCATCGGAAAACACGTATTTCCGATGGCGATTCATAACAGTAGCAAAATTACAGTTGTGAAGTAGCAACGAAAATAATTGTATGGTTGGGGGTCACCACAACATGAGGAACTGTATTGAAGGGTCGCGGCATTAGGAAGGTTGAGGACCCCTGGGTTAGAGGATAATAAAAACCCAAACTAAAAACAAAACGCAAAAAACAAACTATTTCGTTCACTCCCCCAAATATTCATCTACTTTAACAAGACCTTGTGGGATCTGAACACCTCCACTGGGCTCTCAGTAATGCCCTTGGTGCGTAAGTGGGGTGGCCACGTAGCTTACTGTGCACAGTGGTGGAGCTCTTTTGAAAGGGAACGGGAGCACCGTCACGACCAGGCTGGGACGTCAGGCGTTAGGCAGGGTGTGGGGCTGCTCCACTGTGCATCCTGGGAGCCAGGCAGGCCCTACGGGGAGTCTGAGGAGACCTCATAGTCATCTCGGGTTCAGTGCATGTTGGAAAGAGCTGTCATCCGACCACGGGTGTGTTCGCTCACACCCCACACCATGGCGTTTCAACAGAGACCTGAGTGTGTGGCTGTTGGATGTGGTGTGGACTTCTTAGGAGGTGGATTGGAGTCCTTGCATTTTGACGACCCTCCTCCCTCGCCTCGAATGCTTGCGGCAACGGGCGTTGCATTTTTGTGGAAGCACTGAATTGTATCAACATCTTGTTTGTCAGCTATTTTAGCATCGGCAGTGCATACCTCCTCCGTCTTTGGGAACCTGTGTGCTAATGACAAACCTTAGAATTCGAAAGGACGGATGAAGAGCACGCGTAGATTGTGCACAGGCTCCTCACGTCTGTGGTCAGGGAACAGGCGATCTCGGGGGGCTGTGCTCTTTCCAGCTCGTTCAGGTTCCCAGCCTTGGGTGGGTGAGGAGAGGTGGGCAAGGGGTGCTGACCCCTCCTCCCCATGGCCCCAGGCCAGTGTCTCGGGTATCTCAGTTTCTCTGCCTCTGGTTTTCCCATCCAGAGCATGTCGGGAGAGAAATGACTCTCACGAGGTTGCTCTGGGATTAATTAGAACTTGTCAGCGCTCTGCACCGCGGGGGGCCGGCGGTGACACACGTCTGTTTTCCCCACAGTCCCACACGTCCTTGTCGGGCTCAGCACACTCACATCCACCAGGAACAGGCATGGGAAGCAGCTCAGCTTACCTGGCACACCCATCGGGCAAACCCGAGGCTCTGGGCAGGTAGGCAAAGCAAGCTGGGCTGAGCGGGAGCATCTGGCCTGTGCGAGGTGCTGCGAGGCAGCCTGGTCTTGCATCACACTGTTTGGAACCATTGAAAATGGGCTGTCTGGCGTCTCTCAGACCCAGTGTGTTTGGTCTGGGTGGCATCCACTTGGAATTCACCAGGAGCGTAGGGAAATGGCTCCATCCTCTGCAGGTGTGGAGGGGTGTTGCTCTGGTTTTGGCAGCTGGACTAGTGATGGAGAGGCCTCATCGTGAAACCACTCCTGTTGAATGCTGCGCACTTCTGTGCTGCCGCGGTGACGCATCTGACAACCTCGTGGTGTTTGCGTGTGGATATGTAACCTCGTTTGTAGGTGCCATTTTTGTCATGCGGCTATTGGAACGTACAAAAAGCCTATAATCTTTACAAAGAGTTGCAAAACAGAATTATAAAACACATATCCCAGCATGGAGGATTCTTAGAGCTGCAAGGAGCAGGCATCTTTATTTGGTTCACTTCAGGTCTGCAGCAACCACTTGATATTAAAAAAGAGGAACGGAAAATAAGATGTACAAAAAGATGTAATATCCCTTTAGAAAGCAACATTATCAGAAATGTATTTCCTACGGCTCCTCCCTCCCTCTCCCGTGTCCCCACTCCCCCCCAGAAGACCCCAACCAAAACCAAACTGTGAGAAGGAACGGGGATTGAATGTATAACAGAAAAAAATAAAACTGAATTTAACTGGAACATGCTCTAATCTTTAGTTTATTTCTGGTTAAAAATATAGCAATCCAGTGCAGTGTAGTAAAGAAATCTGCTCGAAAGGTAGCAGAGAAACAGCTGAACATAAGCAAAGCAAGGCAGAGTCATAGACGGGCTGTACCCAGGACGACTGTGGGAACTCGCTTTAAGGACCTTCCCAGGTGTGAGCACAGGGGGACCTGCGTGTGGACGAGCCCATGGCCCCACAGACACGTCCATACACGCTGGCCGGGCTGGCTCCGCAGCCAGGGCCAAAGAGCACTCGGGCATTCTGGAACCTTGTTCTTTCGTCTGGATGACAGAGCAACGCTCATGGAGAAGGCAGACACCAGGGACCTGTTTTTGTTTGACTGGAACAAGTTATGTATTTTGGGGGAGATGGATATGCAACGATTTCTCAGGAATTTTCAAGCCACTGGGTTTCAACCACACTCCTGTCCTGGGACCAGACCAGCTCTGGAGAGTGAACGAGGCATCAGGGAAGAATAGGCGCAGCTAGGGGGACGGGGGTGTTGCAGGCACAGGACAAAGATGTGGAACCCACGGGCTCACTGACAGAGAGAAGACGATGTCACATAAGGGCCGCGGACATCTGACAGGGACATGGGAGCCTGGATACCCGCCCGGCATAGTAAGCACAGGAGTGCCACATGCTGAGAGCCGGCTGACGGCCCCAGGGCCTCACCCTGCTCCCTGCCCGCCAGCACCAAGCCCGGGCTTCTGCAGGCCTCTGGACAGCATGGCTCCCCGGGGGCTGGGGGAGGATGGTGCAATGGCGGGGCAGCGGGGGGAAGAAGGACTTGACTTTGAGACTTGGTGTGGGGATCTGGCCTTGCAAGGAAAGTCGTGGGGCGCCGAGGCAGGGCCGGGCCGGGGTCTGTGTCTGGGGAGGGAAGGGAAGGGAAGACAGACCTCTGCTTCCTTAACTGTGCAGCACACATTGAGAATAGAAAAAGGCTCAGCCAGCCAGGACGGGACGCCCTCTTCCCCAGGCCTCACGCCCACCCTTGTCCCCAGTGTTCCAGGGCAGACAGGAGAAGCAGGGGTAACTGACGTCCCGCGTTAACACCTGCCAGCAGCTGCCTCCCCGGCCGGGCACCGCTGGGCAGGCGGAGGGCTCCTCCTCGGCTGCCCCCTTGTCCACATCCCAGGCGGGGGTGCGATGACGATGGTGGTTTTATTATGTATTTATTTTTTTTGCCGCTGATTGGCCAGGATCCCTTTTCTTTCCACTTCAAGCGGGAGGGTCGGCGTGCTGGCCTCCTTCTGCCATGCCACACAGCATAGTGTTATACAAGCAAAGAATTTTGGCTAAAATCCAAAAAACATTACCCAGAAAAAAAGGCAAACTGTGAGTAATACCCAATCGTGGTGTTCTGTGAAGAAACTCGGAAGTAGCTGTCAGGCTGTCTGCGTTATGGTCCTTTCCTCTTTGCGGTTTCGCCGTTAACGTCCCCCTTTTGTACACCCACCGGTATTTTTGCTAATGTGACAATCTCATCAGATGAAAAAGTTAATAAACAAAATGGCGACTCCGATGTTTAGCAAGATCACCATGGCTACCAGGATGGGCGCTGAGCCCTGGAACGGAGAGAGAGAGAGGAGGTGAGCCCGAGGCGTGGTCTGCAGCGTCCCCCCATTCCCCAGGCCAAAGCAGGAAATCCAAGGGGTGGCAGGATAATGGGGCACTTGGGAAACCACCAGGAACCAAACATCCATGTCTTCAGAAGTCAGACTTGAGGAGGAGGCTGCGCGCCCGATTCTAAGTCTGCGCTCACTGCGCTCGGAACTCCTCGTGGCTCTGAAAACTCGGGCGTCTGCCCTTCCCCCTGGTGCCCCGGCTTGTATGGCTGGGACTTCACCCATTGTCACTGAATTTCAGATGCAGCCCAGCCAGAGTGGCCCCTAAATTCAGCCTGAGACCCCTACACCGGCGATGGGAGAGCCCTCTGATAGGCCTCCAAACGATCTCCCTCACCCCTGGGCACCCCGGCCTCCCCTCCAGCGGGAAGGAGCCCTTTGTTCTCCTTCAGGCCTTTCCTGGGCTGTGAGGTGCCGGAGGCCCGCAGACCGCGGTCCCTCGAGCTTGCCATCCTCCTCAGCGATGGGCGCAGAGGCCCCCCTCCCCGTCCTGGCCCCAGCTGCCCCTCAGGACCAGGTGCGCACCTCTACCCCAGGGAGCTTCATTGAAAACACCCAGACCTGCCAACATGGGGGAGGGGTAAACACGGAGCCCTTCCTGCACCCCCACCCCGGCCCGTCACCCGGCTGTTCTAAAATAGCGCACAGGCACACGGGTGCACACGGGTGGGAACACGTCACGTGCTCGCCTTTCCCGCTGCCAGGCTGAGGGAGAGGAGCTGAGTGCCCAGGGCAGTTGTGTCCCAGGGGCTCTCCCGCAGTCAGGGATCTGGGCAGAAGCATTTTAGGAACCAGCCCACCATCAAGAAGGGCATGCCACAGAAATGGCCTCGAGGGCCAGCAGGCCGTCTCTGCCAGGCGGCTTCTCTTCCAAGGGGCACTACCTCCGGACACGGGCACATTCCCAGGAGGGCGGAGACCGAGGGCGGGCAGACCTCGGCCCCTCCGCAGAGGCACTAAGTCCCAGGGGCCCAGTCGGTGCAGGGGCGTGGCTGTGCGTGCCCGGGAGGCAGGCCCAGTGTTCCTCCCGCACACAGGAGACTGCCGCACAGTGCCCACCAGCAACGAGGAGGCTCTACGGGATGACGGGTCCCTGGGGGCTCTGTGGGACCGCACAGGGGCATCGCCGGGGGTGTGGGTCCGAAGTGTGTTCCATTGGCCAAGGGACCAAGGCATGTCTGCTTCTAGGTGGAAGCCACCTGGCAGAGGGTCCCGGGATGTGCCTTCAGGGTGCAAGAGCTCTCCCCAGCCCCACAGCGTCCTGCCCAGGGGGCTCCCCCTCCAACCCACCCTCCTCGGGAGGAGGGCTTCCAGGCTGGTCTGGCACCTGAGACACGGGCCTCGCTCCTGAGCAGCCCCAGGGTCGCCCATGGGACCTGATCCACCTGGTTTACAGCCCCATCCACAGCTGTGATCCCACGGGCCTGGGGCGGGTCAGAGGCCTCATTCTAACCATCTGCCCTGGCTGAACGCTGGTGCAGTGTCCGGGCCCACCTGTGGAGAGCCGAGGCCTGGTAGGAGGGGAGCCGGGGGGCGTGGGCTGGGCAGCCTCACAGAACCGTCTCTCACCCACTGGGAAGTAGGCTTTGTTAGCAGGACACACAGATGGGGGAACCGCAGTGCCTGGCCAGAAGGAGACGGTGTGGCCTGGACAGAGGGCACCGAACCCAGCCTCACGTCCCCTGCTCTCGGATTCTGGCCCCGTGTCCTCCGGGACTGGGACACTCCTCAGAGACAACGATGCTGCGGCTTCTCGACAGGGAGGCCGACCCTCCGGCACTGGGGAGGGCCCCTCGCAGCTGGGAGGTCTGAGCAGCACGGCGAGGTCTGCGAGCAGCGGGTCTCCTGCCGCCCACTTCCTTTTTGGGAGCTTTCCCTGGAGGGTGGAGCCCGGGAGCGCCCTCTGGCGGCTGTCTGGGGAATGCCGCCAGCCCTGCACTGGCCCCTGTGGGGAGGGTCCCAGCCGCTCCTGACCGACCCCCCCACCCCCTGCTACCGGGGGACTCCGTGAGTCTCAGGACTCCGTCTCAGGACCGGTGGACCTGGGCCCTCGCTCCCCAGGACTGCGGGGCGTCCACTTACCGAGCTGGACTTGAGCTCGTCCCCGTTCTCCTCGTCCGATTCCCGTGCCACGGGCGAGGACTTCTGGGGTGGGGAGAAGGTCAGGTCCCAGCGCAGCAGCCGGGGCTCGGCCCTGTCCCCCAGCCGCAGGCTCTCCAGTCTCTGCACTGCGGGCTCCGCGCTCGCGGCCGGCCGGACGTTCTCCTTGTTCTGGGACTTGGGTCTCAGTCTCTGCGCCCCAAAGCCCCGGTCCTCGCCCAGGCCCCGGCAGGCAGCCCCCCTGCTGTAGCGTCTCTTCTGGGGGTGCGCCTCCTGCATGTGGGCGTCCACCCTCAGCAGGGGCTTCATTTCCATCTCATAGTTGCTCAGCTTTTCCTCATCGAGCTCCAGCAGTTTGGCGCCCCCTGAGCTGGGGTTGCTGGCCCGAGGGTGGGAAGTCCAGGAGAACGAAGGGGGCGACTCCGTCCGCCGCTCCCGGGGCTTGGGGTTGCCGGGCTGCTTGTGGCCCGAGCCCCGGGTGCGAAAGTCCTCCACGGGCTGGCCACTGCGGAGGGTACCGCTGCGGACCCCCCTGGACCCCCCTGCCTTCTCCTCACCCCAGCTGTGGCGGCCATAGTCCCCTCCTCTGCCCTCCAGGAGCATCTGGATGTCCCCGCCACGCTCCTCGTCCACCGACACCTGCCGCGAGATGTGGGCGACCTTGTTCCTGGACGCAGGAGCTGGTGGTGGAGTGACCGAGGGGCTGGCAGGGAAGCTCTGCAGGGGGCTGTCATCGGGGGTCAGGTCCGAGGGGGTGGTGCCCTTGCGGTACAGCTCCGGGCTCTCCTGCTGCATGGGTGTCCCAGTGGACATCACCTCGATGTCGTCACTGGAAGCTTGATGCTTTGGCCGCTGGTACTCGAGCCCTGTACAGAGGGGAGGAGGCAGCGCAGAGGCTGGGTTACCGCGCTGTTCTGTGCGGAGGCCTGGCCTCGCCTGAGGGTGGCAGGAAACAGGCTGGGACGCAGTGGTTCCCCAAGTCCCTCTGTGGACCCCAAGCCCCACACCCCAGGTTGGGAATGACCAGGTCACGACAGGTGGTGGTGGACAGCAGTTCTGGCTCCGATCCCCAGTTCCTGGGGGCAGGGCACACCCAAGGCTCAGAGTGTGCGAAGTCTTGGGCCCAGCCTACTCCGTGGGGTCGTAGGTCCCACCCCCCATGGGGCCTTGCTAAAGATCTCATGCTAGGTGACTTTCTATGGGGTCTCAGCCTCCGGGGACAATCCTGTCCCCCAGTTCTCCATCCCCGGGTGGCCTTCCCGCCCCACCCACGGCCTGGGGCTGGGCTCCCCTCCCTGCTTCCATGCTGGAGCCTCTGGCTGGGGCAGGAGACCTTGGGGGTCATGGCACCCTCAGTGAGGCCAGAATTTTCCAGGTCCAGCAGGGGCCGGTGCCCCGTTGACAAGGAGACATGCACCGTGCTTTGGTGGCATGCACGGTGGCCTGAGGCTCCTCTTGCTTCGGGGTTTGAGAGCACTGACCAGAACAAGGCAGAGCTGGAGACACCCATGAACAGTTCCTGTGGCTGGTCCACAGGGCGAAGGCCCCCCATGGGAGCCCCATGTGGTCCTGGATGGGGGAGTCAGACCCATGAGTGCTGGGAAGACATGCCTGGGGCTCAGGGCAAGTGGTCAGTCCCCCTGCCCCTGCTCCCATCTGTTACATGGGGGTGTGGCCCAGGTGTGTCCAGGTCTCATTCAACCACCACACCTCTGTGGCCGTGGGACAGAAAACCTGCTGCCTCCCTCCCCCCGGTCCCCAGGGAAACAGGCCCGAGGAGCCCGAGGAACCAGTGGAGAACTGCCCCCTTTGTGGGGAGCCCTAGCCCTGTCCCCGGACTCCCATGGCCTTCCCGACCTGCCCCAATTGTGATCTGGACTTCCTTGGGGGCCAGGCCCCCGCGCCACCTTACCCCCCTGGACACCGAGCCCTGAGGGTCCCACGGACCCCACACCCCGGAAAGAGGTGCCCTCACGCTCAGCCCCAGCACGCTGTCGGCGCCACCTCCTGGAGACTGTTCTCAGCTAAAGTCAGTTCCAGGGCACACGCATTCCTGGGAGCATCGTTGTGCAAATGCAAAGCAGAACATGGGTGGCTGGGTCCCAACACCTTTGTCCCCTGTCTTGGGTCCTCCTGACTCCCAGACGTGGGCCCGGCCTCCCTCAGCTGCCCCAAAGGGCCAGGACCCCTACCAGTGAGGTGAGGAGCTCAGGGCGTGGTCTCAGGATACAGACTGCACCCTGGCCGGCTCCAGCCTAAGCCCTCCAGTGGCTTTACCCCCACTCGGGGGCATCCCTGCAAGGGATTCGGTTTAACCTGTTCTCCGGGGCTTCCTGCTGCAGAGGCAGCTTCTGAGTGAGGCCAGAGGGACTTGGGGCAGGAGACGGGGGCTGGGCTGGCCTTCGGGGACCTTAGCCTCAGCAGGCTTCTCATCATCATCCACCCCTTCCCCAGCTCTCGGTCTCCCTCAGGCCTGTCCCCAGAGGATGAGGGTCACAGATCTGGCCAACCTGCGGTGGCCTCTAGCTCCTCCCAGCTTCCACCAAAGGGCGTGGCCGAAGCTCCCCTGGCTGTCCCAGAGCCACGGTGTGCAGCGTGGCCGCCGGCAGGCACCTGTGGCCACCTGCATGTCTGTGGAGATCCGTTAGGATCAAATAACACTAACGACCCAGGTCGTCAGCCACACTAGCTGCAGTTCCCACGTGGCCCGTAGCTGCCTCGTTGGACAGAGCGGTTATAATCGTGTCCCTTCATCACCCTGGGGGAAGGGCAGGAACGGCGACCACGGCACATGCAGCATGTGGGCCGGAGAGGGATGCACGGAGACTCATGCGCGCAGGGAGAGAGGCTGCGACCGCCCACCTGTGTCTGAGGGAGGCGCGTGCCAAGGTCGCTGGCGGGGACACACATCATCAAGGATCGTGACCCCGAGGTGAGGTGGCCGCAGGCAGAACCTGCTGGAATGTGGCTGCCCCCCCCCCCCCCCCCCCCGGCGCGCACCCGGCTCACCGTTTTCCCTGTGCTGGAAGGAAGGGGAGAACTCTTTGGCAGTGATCCTGGCAATCCGTGCTTCCTCCTGGGCCTTCTGAGCCGCGGTGAGGGCTGCCTCGGCCTTGGCCCGGGAGTGGGAGGTCCTGGTGGGGAGAGACAGGCAGGGCAGTGACGGCGCAGGAGGCAGAGAGGCTGGGCCAGGACAGGTGCTGGGCGCCCGGGGGTTTGTGCCCTCAGACCTCCGGACCTCTCATTTATTCATTCACCGAACATCACTGGGCACCGACCAGGCCAGAGAGACCGCTGGCTCCTTTGGGCACAGGGCAAACCACACCCTGTGCAGGGCCTGGGTCGCAGCTGGAAATTCAGCCTTTAAAAGGGACCCTTTGTCCTGGACAGAGCGCAGCAAGGGGCCTCCCTCCTTCCCCGTGTCTCGCCCACAGGCTAGAAGCCGGGACCCAGGGCCGGCTGTCTAAGTCTCCGCAGGCGAGCAGGGGCCTAATGCTGACCTGACGAGAAATAAACAGCGTGGGGGTGAGTGGCCAGCCAGGCTCCTGAGCAGGAACAGGCAGGCTTGATGGCGGGACCAGCAAAAGGTCAAGGGCACACGGCACAAACGCGCCCCCAGCACCAGACTTGGTTCCAGGCCCAGGGAGGGTGTGGGCCAGTCATGCTGACCCATCCGGATGCCTAATACCCTGGGCCCAGGCTGCCCCATCGGCGTGAGCTGGGCCCGAGACGGACGGACAGGTGAGCTGTGAGCTGGGAAGGAGTTACTGGGAGACCGAACGGGGCTGAGCTGGCCCCTGGCCGCTCGGCCGGCAGTTCGTCCACACGACCCCCACACTCCTGCAGGGCCAGGCTGGGCGTCCTCTCAGCCGTCACCTGGCACCTTCTAGAACGGCTGTCACTAACCCCGATGTGTGCAAGAGACAGGCGCAGAGGGTTTCAGAAGCTTCTCCAAGTAGGTGTGAAGCGTGGGTTCCAGATGCGGAGAGAGAGGCCGTGTTTCCCACAGGCTCTGGCCGGGGTGAGGCCGGACTCCCACCAGCATGTCAGTGTGGGTGAGGGCGTCACTCGGAGCAAAGGCTCCGCCCCTCCACGCAGGAACCGAGAGGCCCAGTAGAAGTCACACGTCTCTGGGCCTTGGTTTCTCCCTTGGTCACACAGTCAGTGACAACATGGACCTCGTGTGTGTGTGTGAGGTGGGGGGCACATAAAGTCCCCAAACACAGGTTGGCCTTGAGGGGCCTGATCAGAATGGGCGTGCTCTCTTGTCAATAGACGTTCTGCACAGGTTGCACCAAGCTAGTTTGAAATTGCTGTCCTGAAACTTGGGGGTCCCGGGACTCCGCTCCCCAGCTGAGGTGCACATGAGACCCTCCTCCCTTTATAAAATGAGGCTGGACTGGATGCCCAAGGCAGGACAATGTCACGATCCCTATGTCCCTGGTGTCCTGGCTCCAGGGGGCACTGATCCCAACACCAGGGAAACCGAGGTACAACAGCCAGTCCAGGACCAGGGGTAGCCTGCCCCTCAGCGGTCTCCTCCCCAGGCTCCCCTCGGCAGCCTGACCCTCCCAACACCCGCGTTCCTCCAGTCCCCGGCTTAAGGAAGCCCCTCCCTCCTCGCGAGTGACCAGGCTTGCTTTTTTCGAATTTCCACCACGCCAACTAGCAACAGCCTTACTGGAAGAGACCGTGTACGACAGACACACAGTAAGTCACAGTACGAACACGCGTCCAGGAAGCGGGGCCAGCGCCGAGGATGCCCGCACAGCGGTCGCCAGGGTTCCTGTATCGTCCTCTCCGGCCGTCGCCCCCGTCCTGCCCCAAGACGGGAGAGAAACCTCTGCAGAAATGTAGCATGAGGACATTCTCCGTCCACGGAGTTCTCTCCTACATTTGGGAAAACGTGAGTGTCACCCGAGACAGCGGCAGCCCCGTGTCCCCAGGTGCACAAGCTGTGAGGCGCCGCCTGGAGCCTGTGGTGAGGACCAGAGAAGAGGGGCAGGAGCCTCCTGGAGACACCACCGTTCCCAAAGCAGCAGCTGTTAATACTTCATTTGTATCAGTAGCACATCAGCTGGATAAGTCGTTACTGCAGCCTTCGACCCGACCCAGCCCACAAGCTCCTGAGCGGTCTCTCCCACCTGGAGCCCATGTTCCAGCCCCGTGGTCCCTGAAGGTCACAGCCACGAGCATGTGAAGTTGGAGCTGGAAGAGGGGTGTATGTATCTCGAGGTCGGCATGAGAACCACGGGAGGGAGTCAGACCCAGTGAGGGCCAGTGTGAGGCCTCGGTCGTCCAGGCCACATCCCGGGGGGACCGTCGGTGACGGGGGCGGGGGGGTGCTGGATGGCAGGGTGAGCAAGCAGAGGCCTCCCAGCCAGCTCCCGCCACCTGTCCCGCATCTCCGCATCTGTCCTGGGCCGAGACCCAGTGAGCGGACCGCTGGGGCAGCTGGAGACCCTGACCTGGAGCCTGGAGGTGGACAGGGGCCCTAAGCAACCCCACTGAGGGGCTGTGAACTGGGAGCCTTTGGGTGGGTCCACGTGTCCCCTGAAATTGTACTCAAAATGCTCTACATGCGTCACCGCCACCCCCAAAGCAGAGGGTTCATGCCTGTCTTTCATCAGATTCCCTGAGGCCCTGTGACACCCCGAAGAGACTCGCAGCCTGAACGCAGCTGGTCCTGATGGAGAAAAGCGCAGCTCGGGGCTTGGTCCCACGTGCTGCCAGGGAGCCACGCTGCCCACGCGCCCACGCTGCCCACGCGCCCACGCTGCCCACGCTGCCCACATGCCCACGCTGCCCACGCAGCCTCAGCTTACCCAGGGCTCGGCGCTCACCTCCGCTGGGGCGACCTGGCTTCTCTCCAGAACATGCCATGGATTGGCTTCTGGTTGTGTTTTGTTTTGGGTAATAACTGATTTATTGAGATAGAACTCACAGAGTATACAAGCTTTCATTTAACATGTAGTCGTTTTGCCCTGGCCGGTTTGGCTCAGCGGTTGGAGCGTCGGCCTGCGGACCAGAGAGTCCAAGGTTCGGTTCCCGCTAGGGGCACGTACTAAAATAAATAAAATGAAATAAAATGAAATAAAATAAAATAAAATAATAAACTAGCCCTGGCCGGTTTTGCTCAGCGGTTAGAGCATTGGCCTGAGGTCCAGAGAGACCTGGGTTCGGTTCCCGCTAAGGGCATGTACCTCGGTTGCAGTTTGTCCCCGGCCCTGGTTGGTCGTGCGGGTGGCAACCACTCGATGTGTCCCTTTCACATCGATGTTTCTCTCTCTCTCTCTTCCTCTCTCTCCCTCCCGCTCTGTCTGAACAAAAAATGGAAAAATGTCCTCGGGTGAGGATTAAAAAAATAAAATAAAATAAAATAAAATAAAATAAAATAAAATGTAGTCGTTTTTAGCGTGTTCACAGAGTTCTGCAACCATGGCCACAATCAATTTCAGCGTTCCCTCTACCCCCACCTTCCCCCCGACGCCATCCCACCAGCCCCTGGTAAGGTCTGTGTCCGTCAGATCGCCGGATATGCCAGGTCCAAGTAGTTTTTTAAAAGGTTTTCTTTCTCCATTTTCTAGGACTGAGGTGTAAGTCACCTGACGTGAAGTGAACCAGTGAGAAGTTTGGGGCCTTGGCACGTCCGCAGTGCTGGGCGGCCACCTCTACCGCTCAGAGGACATCCTGTCACCTCAAAAGGAGACCCGGACCATGAGCAGTCACCCCCCACTCCCACCTATGCCCCTAGCCCCGGGGGGCGGGATCTGAGTGACAGTTCTGCCTTCACTAAGCACCTCCCCTCATCCCTGGCCTTCCCCCCGCTGGCCGAGTGCCCCCCCTCACCCCGATCCCAGGGATTGGGGTCATCAGCTGGCACAGGAGCATCACAGCCGAGCAGATGACTGTCCCCAAAGCCCTGTTTCTAGCTGAGACCTGAGCAGGTGATACCCACCCTGAACCGCCTGCGCGCCTTTGTACACAGAGTCTGGGACGGGTCAGAACCGCCAGTGTTCCTTAGTACACAGAGTCTGGGATGGGTCAGAACCGCCCATGTGCCTTTGTACACAGAGTCTGGGATGGGTCGGAACCGCCCGTGTGCCTTTGTACACCGAGTCTGGGACGGGTCGGAACCGCCTGCGTATCTATCTGTACATCAAGTCTGGGACGGGTCGGAATCGCCCACGTGCCTTTGTACACAGAGTCTGGGACGGGTCAGAACCGCCCGTGTGCCTTTGTACACCGAGTCTGGGACGGGTCGGAACCGCCTGCGTATCTCTGTACATCAAGTCTGGGACGGGTCGGAACCGCCTGCGCACCTTTGTACACCGAGTCTGGGACGGGTCGGAACCGCCTGCGTATATCTGTACATCAAGTCTGGGACGGGTCGGAACTGCCCGCGTGCCTTTGTACACCGAGTCTGGGACGGGTCGGAACTGCAGTTCCGTGGAGATTCTTCCCTGAAGTAGAGCTTGGACGGCTTGGGGCTGGCACCTGCCCTGACGAGAATGCAAGACAGAACATTCTGTGCCGCCCGCTAACAGCAGGTCTGCACGTCCCTAATAGTCGTCGTTGCCGACCACGACAGACGCTGAATATGGAGCCCAAACAGGGCTCCGAACCAAGAGAAGGGACTGAGCAGAGAGAAAACAGCAGGAGCGTGGCCTGACGGGAGGGCAAGGCAGGGCAGGCCAAATGAGGCTCAGTGGCTGGCTGCCTGGCTGCAGGGGGATGGGGAGCTCTGGGTGGTTGCCGAGGGCAGGGGTTAGAGGCTTTGGGGCAGTAGTGTGTGTCCCGGCCCACAGCCAAGTGCAGCACGCTGGGTTGGACACGGCTGCTCACAGGATGAAGTTATAGGGAAACATGAAAGTGAGATTTTGTTTTGTTTTGTTTTTTTTAATCCTCATTTTTGCATTTATCTTCAGTTAGAGTGGGAGGGAGAGAGGGAGGAAGACAGAGAGAGAAACATCCACGTGAAAGGGACACATCGAGTGGCTGCCACCCACACAACCCTAACGGGGGCTGGGGACAAACTGCAACCGAGGTACGTGCCCTTAGCGGGAACCGAACCCAGGACTCTCTGGTCCGTGGGCCGACGCTCTAACTACTGAGCCAAACCGGCCAGGGCATG